TCGATTCGGAGTTGAAGAACTCATTGTTGTCGACTTACTTCGGCGGCAGCCGCACTGCAAGATGATGGGGGACCACCTGGATGTTCTGCAAAAGCGTTGGCCTCAGTTGTGTAAAGTGTGCCGCGATCCACAAAGACGCCTTCCGTGCTGGCGTGAGATTACAGATGCTCGTCCGGGCCACTTCCCAGATGAACTGCGTCACAGTCTGCACGATCGCGGTCTGGACAAGAGTTCGACTCTGAGATGTCGCTTCGCAGATGACTTCGCGGACTCGTGATTGTGCGGTTGTCGCAAAATCGATGCTGGGCTGTCAGGTGTGGAAAGGAACGAGGAAGCCTAGTCATGTACATGCAAGCCATGTCCTGGGAACGCAGAAGCAAACGGGACCTGTGGCCATTCCTTTTGGGTCCTGGGTCTTTGTTTCTCGCAGAAGCATTCGGGATTTAAGATGCTAATGGCCGACACGCTCTGAAGCTTGTCCCATGGATCTGGCGTGCTGGCAGGCTTACACAAGCACTAAGGCAGTGGCTGCATGAGTCTGCACACGTACAGAGTGGAAGTGTTGCGATTGCCGGCGTTCAGGTGGACAGGCCTCAACGAGATAAGACAGTAGATCCTCGAAGCTCTACAGCCGAACCCCGAGCCAACAACGCTTTCCGATGACTGCTCTTCCGGACACCGTGCTTCGGATCAGGGGTTTGATGCGATGGGCTCTGGTGCCTCAATCGCCCAACCAGTTTTGCAGTAAAGTATACGCCAATGTCGCGATATCGAGGCATGCACCACAGCAGAGTCTCATCATAGAACTGCCGCTAGATCTGGACTGCTCGGCCGGCTTTGGCTTGACACGTCCCGGTGGATGCTCAGTACAGCCAAGAATCACACAGCACTGACCCGAGCTCCCACATTCTTGCAATGGCAGCTGCCCCCTGACCTGCACTCGTAAAGTTCAGACCAAACCACCCTCAAGCAGACCTTGCTTCAGCAGTGTGAATTTGCCAGTGCCATGGCAGATGTGAACCTAGGCCTCTTGGCGTGATTCGTGTGAGGCGAAGCACTGCGCGAAAAGTATCGCTCTGCTGACAAGGCCGTGAGGCGATGCCTCAACCACCCGGCTTCGAAAAGCTTTCGCCTCAGAGCGGAGAGAGCGAAGCACCTTGTCGGCAGCGTTGCAACTCCAAGGACCGATGCAGCTTGGTCAAGCTACAACCCCACAGCCTGCGCCCCATGACCGTCATGGATGCCATCACATGGCCGAGTGACCAAGCAAGCTTCACTGACTTCGTGACTGTCATCAGAATGAATCATGCTGTTGGAGCCACTGCTGCCTCGTTTGATTGCCTTCCTGCTTGGCTAAGTCTTCGGCACATGGCGGCTGGGATGACAACGACCATGGCAACAACCGAAGTTGGGAAAGCCAGAACGGTCATGGTTCAGACAAGTGGAAAAGCGACAAGTGGAGTGGCGGAGGCGCGGACACAGTCTTCCTGTGAAACCACGTCTTTCATGTTCCGCATGTCGAAGGAGGTGGAGGTGCCAAGTGGGGGAATTCCAAGTGGTCAAAGGACGGTGTGCTCGTAGTGCCAGCTCTGGATGCGAGAAGGGCTCTATTAAGTGTCGGCTGGGGTTCATGTGCTGATGTAGATTTCAGGCAAGTGTCGTCGTACTTATTGACTTATTGGACAGTGTAGGTGGCTTGGTTGCGATGTTTAGTTGCCACGGGTAGCTCGCTCGTTTTGGCTGTTTCGTTCGCAATCGACCAGCAGGCCCTGTGATGACCTGGATCTGGCCCATTATGCCCTTGTTCTGTTGCAGGATGCGGATACCGCGTCGTCTTGGTATTCAGGCCAGGATGCAAGTCGAGAGTGCAAGTGCGATAGCTCCCCTCTATTAGCACGTCAGCATGCTAGCATCTGTACCGACATGGGCATGCACACACCCGTGTGAGATTGAGTAGCAGACCCTTCACCTGTCGTAGGCAGCTTAGCGATATGCTTCAGCGACATTCTCACTGTTGTAGACAGCTCGTGTGATATAACCTGATGTTGATGTTGAGGTGGTTATGGTGGCCTAGTGGGCGAGGCTGGTCTTGGAAGAGCTGCTATGGCGCAGATCGAATTTGGCGGTATCTTTGGTTGGAACTCGTTGGCGCCGAGTTCTGAAGTTGAACTTGAGGATGTTGGAGGTTTGAGGCCTTTTTCGCGTGGTCCTCCCTTCGTAGGACAATGCCACCGTTGAAGTCCAGGATGAGGCGCAGAGGGTCTGTGGGTTGAAATCTATGCACTATATACATGCATGCGCACTAATGTACGTATCTTTTGCCTGCAGTTGAACATAGGAGAACCCACAGTGAGGATCGTGGCATTACGAGTAGGTATTCAAAAGGAGTAGCTGCTGCTACTGCTACTGCTCTAGTGCTGCTAGTGATGCAAAGTTCAGCATAAAGGTCGTTGTAAAGGTAACGCCAAGCACAGTCATAGCAGTACATACGAATGCAACCAGTTGTATGAAGAAGACTATCTGCATTTCGTAATTGAGCGCGCGCATAAACAAACAAATGCATAAGCAAATGTGCGTGTAAATGAATGCGAAAGAAGGGCATAATCACCAAATGGACGTCTGTCTGAGCAGATGAGAAAGCCGAGAGATAGACAGTCGAATCAATGAACCCGTACCATACGTGAATAACAAACTTACAAGGAAGTTACTCATGAGGAAGCCCATACATTAGTGTGTGTATATATGTACGAATGTACAGATCTACATACATACACTTCGATATACATCGTCAAATGCATAGACATCATCATGTACATGTACATACCTGCCTACCTGCCTACCTGCCTGCCTGCCTGCCTGCCTGCCTGCCTGCCTGCCTACCTACACACCTACATACCTAGCTACCTACCTACATACATACATTTATGCATGCATACATGCAAGCAGGCATAAATACAGGTATACAAGCACACATGCAGACATGCATACATGCATATGCATGCGCACTTTGGCTTGCTTCCTCGGGCTCCAGGAAGTCGAATTCCCCCGGACAGAGATGCTTCTGGCGCAGGAAGAGTGCAGAACTCAGAACTGTGCGAGACCCTGTTCTGAGCCCAGAAGGAGCCCAGAGTGTCAGTGGCCCTTGCCAGTTTTGAAAGCCTCGGCGTGTGCAAGGAGGTCATGGAAGCCGCGGGCACAGCGTAGATCGGCTTTTGCGCACGGTCTCCTCCGTTGACAAGCGTAGTACACCAGGCTTGTCCTTCGCAGGATCTTCCTGGCTGCCGCTTAAAAGATCACAATCATTTTGTGCTTGCATGTTCAAAGAAAACACCCGCAGCAGCAGCAGCAGCAGCGGCAGCGGCAGCGGCAGCGGCAGCGGCAGCGGCAGCGGCAGCGGCAGCGGCAGCGGCAGCGGCAGCGGCGCCAGCATCAGCTCCAGCACCAGCACCAGCACCGGCAGTGCCAGCGGCACCAGCACCAGCACCAGCACCAGCACCGGCACCGGCACCGGCAGCATTCTTTTGTGTTGTTTCCATGTTTCGAGGGTATCAACTTCCTTGGCTACGTGAAGCCCTCGGTCATCCAGGCATGCAGCTCCCGCATACTCGTGCATGCTGTTATATGAAAGTACGTCAACACGTCTGCACTTCGCGGCAGGCGCACACACTGCCACGAATTCTCGGCGAACCAGGTCAGAGAGGTAAAAGTCTCCAGGCGCAGGTGCGGTGCAACGAAAGGTCTCGCTCGATTTGTAGCTTGTAAGCGTTCATGGCCTCTTCGAGATGATCTGCAAGCCGACAGGCGCAGAATGGATCTGGCAAGACTGCGTGCTTCAGCATCGCTGTGCTGCAAGCGCTTGACATCAGTGCCGCACACTCAGGAGGCAGGCATTCAGGGCACTTGACAATGGAACTCCGGAGCTACTCGTTTGGTCTATTCAACAGGCGGCAATGGTGCATGAGACTTCATTGGAGCATGTTTTGTGTCTCAAGCGGTCGTGTTGCATGCGTTTTTCTCCCCCAAGCAGTGTGGTAATACGGGGTTCGCACGTTCAGAGTAAAGTGCCGGGCAGGCACAATTTGAGAACTCATACTCCCACCACTGGGCCGTTTGTCTTTTGAGATTTTATGGTCTTGCACTGTTAGGGGTCCAAGCTGGCGTGATTTGCGTTGACACCATGGCAAAGGTCTTGCAGCCACAGGCCATGGTTTTGTGCCGGCAGCTCAGCATGGCTCAAAAACCACCCGCCTCGGATGTGCGTGGCATTGCCAAGGTCCAACAAGAGAGCTGGCACGTCAAAACCACGACTTCATAAACCTCATTGGGTTGCTTGGTTCCATTGAGTCTTGCAGCCGACAAGAAGCGAGTGAAATCCTTCTTAAGTTTTGCACCCGGCAGGTATGGAATGAAACCGAAGACTCATCTGGTGTGTCCGGGCATGGAGCGCAGCATTGGGTCGCTTTATGTCTTGGTTTGATGGAAAGAGACAGGAGAGTAAGGGAGCCTGCTGGCACTGATAGTGCCACTTTGGTGAGGAGCGTGTGCCGAGCGGCTCTACGATTGACTGCCACATCTTGATTGGCACTCCTGGGAAGATGATGGACGGGTTCAGAAACCTGTTGTGTGCTCCCTGCGGCATGAACGAGTGCAAATGCCAAAGAGTAGCAATTTGCAGCTCAGACTGGCAGAATGTGCATTGCGGCAAGATAGGATGGTATTTTGCAGGACATGTGCAAGAAGAGATTCGTCTACGTGAAGGAGCTCAAGGTTCTGGTGCTTGATGAGGCCGATGTGATGCTTGATCAGGACCTCGCCGTTTCAAGAGAGCATCGAAGTTTAGCTGTGACGTGGTCGGTGCGGCATTCCGAATAGCTGGTTGATGTCTGCGCAGGAAAATTTCATGGGCACCCACGTCATGGACGTCAGGAAGCATCTGCCACAAGATATCCAGGCCCATTCTTGCATGGCGAACAGTTTCGCATTGCGGGTAACTTGGTCACTCTGTCCTGGGCAGATTCTCTTCTTCAGTGCCACATACCCCGACTACGTGCAAATCTTTGCGCGGAATTTGCTTGCCAGCAAGACGGTCATCAAGGCGGGCAAGACTCTGTGTAGGCCTAGGCCTAGCCTGTTTAGGAAATGCAGTCCCGCGGCCTTGGCAGAGGTCTCGAAAGAGGCGCTGACTGTCGCCACCATCCAGCTGTCACCCCAGTACTTACCACTCCCATGCGCTGTGCATCTCCCGGGGGTCACCACCTGGCTTCTTTCTGAGGCAAACATACAAGGTTTGCGAGGATGAGAGCGACAAGTTTCAGCAGCTGATGAATGCCGACCTGACATGATTCCGAGGGCCGCTGCCAACCTTTCTGCTACCCCGCCTGTGACAGATCTATGGTGCTCTCAGCATGGGTCAGAGTATCGTCTTCTTCAACTCGAGAAGCAAGGCTTGTGCACTCTTCATATGCCTGCAGTGTGCTTAACTCCAGCCCACAAACTTCTGTTCGGCACTGCCTAGAGAGTGCAACTATGCAGTTCCGTCAAGATGCGGGCTGTGTGGTGTCGTTGCAGATTTGATTCTCAAGGGAACCCGGAGACGATTGAGGTCAAGAAACACTTGAACGCAGCCTGTTGACTTTTCCACCTCTTGAACCGTGCAGACTTTTCTGCCTGTCACCACCCGCCAATACCCGTTCCTGTGTTGCCGTTCCTGTGTTGCCATGGCGGAAGACTTGATGCAGCTTTCGATCCGCTCGCAGTACGGGCTGTCGTTTCTTGGCATTGACGACATGTGCTGTAGCAATATGGCTGGAGGAAATCGTGTGTATCTCGTGCAGGAACAGCTGGATTCTAGGCATGCTATGCAGGGGATGTGGAACAGTCGTTTCACATCGTCTCTTAAGTGAAGTTGAGACTCGTTTCGAGGTTTCGCAAGTTCGATTCCACCGACTTCTCTGCAAACAAACTGGCCGCTGTGATCTGCCTCAGACTTTGAAGAAGCCATTCCTGCCGAACGTTTCGAAGGTCACAGCTGGTCTGTTTCCTTCTTGATCCTATTTCGGAAGCGCTTCGGGTCATGAGACTTCAACGGGTCGCCTACCAGGAGCGACACGCAGGGTCTGAAGCCGTTGTTCTTGTTTCAATGTCATATCCATGTATTCCACCAAACATTGTTCGCCAATTGCCCAAGGTTACGAACAAGGAGAAGGGGTCGCGGTCTGAGTCACTTCCGCCTGGGCAAGACACACACGCACACTTGCATTCTCATGGGGTGTGGATCTAGTGATGATCCTGCTCGGATCTACTCAGCGTGCGTCTGAGTGGCTTCAGAAGGTTTAGGAGAGGTGGCTGTCTTGAATTGGAAGCGCAGTGCAGTATCGGCTGCTCCAGATGTTAACGTCACACAGGCCCACAGGCGGCTTTTGCTGTGTCATGTATCCCAGTTTTGTATCGCTGCGTCAGTCAGCTGAGGGTGCTCGGTTCTGTGGAGCCAGAAGCTCTTTCGGTATCATCCTACTTCACCCAGACAGCAGTCGGCCCCTTGCAGTGGGACTGCCTTTGCTTTTGGAACTAACAAAGCTGTCTTTGCCTTGTCTAGCCCTTTGTCGAAGGTGCTGCAGCTACATCTTTCCTCCTTTACTGTCTTGACTGCGTGCTTTTGCATCTTTTTCTTGGGGTGTGAGCGAGCACTGATCATCGACTGCTCTTTGCAGCTCCGGAAGGGATAGTCAAAAGACGATCGCAGTGAGGCTGGGACAGCAGCGCCTTTCCAGCGCTGCATGTCTGCAACATCGTCAAGCAGTGTTTCCGTATGTGTCGGGACGTCGTTGCAACTTTGGAAGGGTTCTCGCCACATGCTGAACGACAGCAACCAGATGGGTGCTTCTGCGTATGCTTGTTGCAGGCACCTGGAGCCATCAGCTCAGAATCCCGAGAATCCTACCGTGCCATGTCTGCATTCTGAACACGCCTCATGCAATCGTGCAGCTATGTGGTCGGAGACTTTCACGGCTCTTCAAGAGGCTCCTTTGGGGAGGATGGAAACTCGGGCCTTTGGCGTGGCAAGGCCCCGCAGTAGAAGTCGGACAGGGGATCTCAGATAATGCTTCCACTTATTGCTTGCAGTGGCTGCAGGCGGATCCCCGCGAGAACGACAGCCTTTGCCACAGTCTGGGTGGCTTGCACGCACGACTCATGACGCCGTGAAAGGGAACCTGTCAGGTGGTATTGCACCACATGGCAAACTTTAGCTTTTGTTGCTGTTCAATCATGTTGCACCGGAATCAGGGCCATTCATTCCAAAAGGCAAAGAACCAAGGCAGAAGACTTGCCTGTGTTCGCCCGCAGCTCTATTTGCTTCACTTTGTTTTGACCCTATTATAATGGTTTGTGTGGGGTTTAATCTTCCTAATAACTCTTCTGCCGAGGACAATCCTTCAGGGAAACTACTTCGAGCAGAGATGCTTTCCGCTCGCATGCAACTTGTCCTCACAAAGCAGGTTGACAAGATCACGCAATGTCCTGCCGACATGCATGGTGACCACTCAACGAGTAGGCTGGCTATCCTCGATTCCAAGGACCAAAGATTTGCGTCGAATTTGTTTACGCTTCACGACAATTTGGCCGCTGGCCCAGCACATCACTATGGAATTCATGCAAGTCTGTATGCCAGGAAGAGTTGTTTGCCTTGTTACCTCGTGGCAAGCGGAACAGTCATCCTGAACACATACTGGTCAGGGAGTCACATGGGGATCGCCGCTTGGTACGTCCACCCATCGCTATGATTTCCGTTGCTTCGCAGCACGAATTCTCCTCGCGGGCATGGGTCGGGGTGGCATCTCCGCATCAGCCACGTGCCGGCTAAGGTTGGCCTGGCAAGCAGAGAACCCGGCGTGGGTGGCACGGCTGAAGTTCACTTATTGTTGGCAGAGCTCCGTGGCAAAAAGGACTTAACAAAGTGCGGATCAATTGAGATTGTGCTTTCAACGAGTCATTCGTTTCGCATGAGATATCAGCCCAGGCGATGAAGCCCTGATGGGCATGCCAGCAGTAGGACACTAGTAGGTGTAGATCACTGGCTTCGTATTTCAGGAGGTAGGCTGTTGCGTCCATTGCTTGTAAAACCGGCTTCATCATCATGGTCATTAGCATCTGGAGCACTGCGCCACCCGGAATAGCTGCCTCCTGTGATTTTCCACGAAGCCAGACTCATAGCTCTTCGCTGCAAAGCAGCACTAGATCTCCCACACCTGGGCGCTACCTTAGCTTTCCGGAAGCAGGGTGAACAAGCTGCCATTCGGACTCGTTCCGTGGAGCGGCCCATTCTAGTTCATTCACGCACAGCACGCAGTAGGCAGTGACAGTGAAAGCAGGTGGCACGTATGATTCAGGGTTGACCGCATGTCGACGCCTATCTGTCAGCTCGAGATCCCGGAGGAAGGGCGGAGTGCTGGCCGGGCAAGGGCTACAAGGTACCTCCTAACTGATTCAAGCACGCGGCCATGCGTCTGTGGCTTGCCACCGTCACGTTGTGCCATGGCCTCATTGGTGGTGAGTTCACGGAGTGGCAAAGAATCCCCACGAATGGAGCCATCGCTTGGGCGGCCTTCTCAATGGATGGCGTCCAACACCTTGCAGTGGCCAACTACAATAACGATGCGACTTGCAATGTAAACTCCAAGGTGTACAGATGGCATGATGTCAGCGAGTCCTTCGTGGAGCTGCAAAGCATCCCCACGAATGGAGCAAGCTCTTGGGCGGCCTTCTCAATGGATGGCGTCCAACACCTTGCAGTGGCCAACAACTTTAACGATGCGACTCACAATGTATACTCCAAGGTGTACAGATGGCATGATG